ATGGTAGAAGACGAAGATGAATATTGGATGACACCAGAAAATGATTACATATTCGATGCCATACCGCATCTGAGACTATCAGATACTGACTCTGACGAAGAACTCAGTGAGGGAGAGGATCAATAATTAGATTGAGACTCTAGGTGATATACTGTTACAAACGAACATCATAAAATGAATGGCGATGGTAAGATGATGCATCTACTATACAGCTGTGATGGCGTAAAGACAGTAGGCATGGAATGAACGAATACGAATGGAAGAAACCATGTAAAGACAGTGGGTCAACACGAACAACTGTTTTTATAATATATATGGGTTTTAAACGAATGCATCTAAATGATGATGTATTAATTTAAATGAAAATCAATCAGATGGATTGCAGACCTAGGCGGAGACGTGTCCTTTGTCTTCCATCATAGGAGTAACACCACGAGTGAATGGAGTAGTGGCTCGTTCAACGGTCTTAGGGACTGGAACAGCAATCTCTGTAGGAGTGACGACGGTGTCCTCAGAACCAGTGGTGGGAACACTCTGAGCAGTAGCGAAACTTGCGTCAGACGCAGAAGAGTCTGAGCCAGAGTCTTGGCGACTTTTCAAAATGCTGCAAGCTTCGTCCGCAATTACCTTGGCAATACGTGCACGAGTTGCATAAGTCTTGACCAGGTTTGCGTTAAATTCGAATTCAGCTGCCTGAAAGTTGAGTGTAGCAGCAATGAATTTGGTACTTTGCGACTCAAGAGGAGCTGGTGGAGTATCGAGATTAGAAGATACGACTTGAGCAAGAGCATGATTGATATGCTTGCTATGGGTCACTAAATCACGAAATAAGAATCCATTTGAAACGGATTTGAATTAAATTGAATCACCTTTATCTTCAGCGAGGCACGACATACAGTTAGAAGAAACATGACTGTCAGCGTGGCAATGGACCTTGCTGAGACGAGGAGAAACATCGTTCACAGCAGACTTTTCTTCCTTGTTGGAACCTTTGTTGGAACCAGTGGTGGGATAAGGAGTGCTGCGACGATTCTACGACATGGAATGAGTCGTGGATACAGAACATGATAACATTCTAACTCACCTTGATAAAAGAGAGAGTAGGCTTCTGTTTGAAACTGCGTTCAGTTCCAGATACCAACTCGTCCTCGGAGGCTGAGTTCATCTAAACGAAATTGATAAATCAAATTAATTGAGATCAGATCTGAAGATTTACCTCGACATCAGAGTCGAAACGAACAGATCTAAGTTCCCGTTTGATGTCACGAGAGGAAGCGAATCTTGTTGATTTCTTCTTAGACTTCTTCACGAAACGAGAATTTTCGGAACGAGTAGAAGCCTCGTGGTCCGAATGAACTGAACGAGCACGATCGAAGAGGCGATTCCTGACGAAAGTGTTCTGAAAAGACTATTAACGTAAATAGTCATGAATAAAATTGATACATACACGAGCATCATTGGCAAAAGCCATGAACTTGAGATGTTGCTCGAAGTGAGAATCACTGACGATGTCAGGAAATAGTTTGTGCCCGAGACACAAAGTATCGATAATGCTCTGACGAGCAGTCAAGTTAGAAATCTGTCTAACATGACTACGAAGTGTAACAGGCTTTTCCTGACAATAAACGATTTAGATTAATACGTATCAATTAAAGTGAATGAAGAATACATACCAAGAGATCATGAAGATACTCGGTAGACCGACGAAGGACAGAAATTGTTGCCTTGTCGGGATTGTTCGTCTTCTTGCCTTTGTACGAAGCAAGTAGCTGCTGCAAAGCACCCAAGTGGGGCTCAGCAACTCGAGCAATGTCAAGATCCTTCTTGTGATGGATAGGCATGTGTAAGACCTGGGTCAAAATAGGTCTTAGGGTAGGTTTTGGTAGGTGGAGGTTTATGTTGTAGCTTGCTAGGAGCAGGCTGGAGCTCGAAGGGAGCTACGAGAACCGCGACCGAGGACGGGAATGACCTAGTAGTGGTTGGAACGACGAGATGGTGACCCTTGAGGGGTTCCTAGGAGGTCCAGGGAGGTCCCTAATGCGTAGGGAGGTTCGGGACGAGTGCGGGACCGTAAGATATTGCGTAGTAGGAGTTGTACTCGCTAGAACGTCAATATAGAGTCGAGTAGGTAGTTTATGCAACGGGGTCTCGAGGGTGTAAGCTCCCGAGAAGGGATATGCCAGGGAGGGTAGGTCCCTGGGGGCTAGGTTGGAGGATGGTCGTCCTCGAGTGTGGGAGGTGGTAACGGAGAAGCAGTACGTAGTTCGACGTGAGGGGTAGCTTCGACGTTACCTAGATCGAGGTCCCGAAGCTTACGAAGTAGCTAGGGAGCTCTGGGAGGTTTGGGGAAGAGTAGCTCACCAAGCGGGTAGGCGTTGGGGAGCTTTAGTAATGTTCGAGGGAGCTCGGGGACTCACTCGGAAGGCTTAGACTTGAAGTAAAAGCGTATATTCGATCGTACCGACGATCAGAGAGACAATAGACAGAAGTAGAGAGAAACAGAGGTAGAGAAACAGAGAGGAAAGAGAAATCCGTATGGTTAGCAGGTACAAAGGGACAGGGACTGGACCTATGCAAAAGGGTGTGTGTTCAAAATATACCAAGCTGGCGCTTGGAGACGTTACGGAGCTACTTAAATAGGTATGGGAAGTGAACAAGGGAACATCGGAACCTAGGGACATGAGGCAGTAGTCGAAGGAGACAGGTGATCGAGATTTGTACTTAATGGGGCTGGTGCTAAGGAGTTTCGTACGCGTGTCGGGAGGTTGTCAGGATAGTCTTGGGGAGGTGCGTATTACCCGTGGTCCTGTCTTGGGGAGGTGCGTAGTACCCGTGGTCCTGTCTTGGGGAGGTCGGATGTCTTGGGGAGGTGTAAGGAAGCATGTGGGATGGTGCTGGGACTGGTTGGTTGTGGTCAGGGCATGACAGCATGCTAGGATGAACGATAATAGATGTTGATGGAACTTTGTATGGAATGAGAGCTCGACTGAGTTCGACTAATGCAAGTCGACTTGGAACGAATGGCATATTGATAGTCAATTGGCCTGAGCTTTTATACCGAAACAGGGAAATCAAGCTCCTGACCAAATTAGGACAACTGAGGACAGTTGGATTCTTTAGTTTGGGGGAGGAGGATATCGATTTAATTGAAAATTTTACAAAATTTCAATTAGACTAATAGTTTTGCAATCAGATTGAATGGTATTGCGAACGCAGTGACCCAGAATTGATCAAAGTGATCATACAGAAGGTCAAAATAAGCGGAATGAGTAAAGAAACTGCGCTTAGAACCTGAAAGTGGAGTTGAGAATACCTCCCGACATTGTTATGATCAATGGCGAACGGAGATCGACTTGAGCACCCAGGACAAGGAAGGCAGTAAAGTCTTGCGGCCCTGATCTCGCATGAGAGTTCATGCCAGGATCCGGAATGGAGTCTTACTTTGAACCCCTATTCAAAGGTGGAACTCAGAGTCAGCTCAATAATTCGCAAACACTCAATCAAATTAAAACAAGAATCGAGTTGAAAAGGATATTGAGTGAATCATGGTTATAGGAATTCATTCAAATTAAAATGAGACTTAAATTTACTCATTCAAATTAATATAAACATGAGCAGGAAAGCTCGTAAAATTGATATATACAGGATAACAGAAGCTATCCACAACAAAATAATAGGTAGATGTACCTACAAGAAACACAAGAAAATACAAAAAGATATTAGACTAATTAATCTAATAAAACAAGATGGTCTCGAGCGACCGGTGGTCCTGAAAAGGTCCATAGATGAGATTCGGGTTAAGAAACCCAGACGATACGACCGCGAGTGGTCAGCTATAATGAGATATAAGGGCATGAAAGCCCGTCCGTCCGTGTGTGCATAAGAAAAACAAAAAATTAAAATAATAAAAAAAAACGATGCCCTGACACCTAAAGAACCAGCTACGATTCAAGAGTCTGCGCTGGCTCTGCCCCCTTTTCAGGAGACAGAGTTTGCTCGGCCAAACTCTCGATTGTAGGGAGATCCAGCTCCATAGGAACCGATCCCCCTACTTGACTGCTGGCACCTTCGTCCGCCGATCCCCTCTCTACTTCATTAAGGCCTTCAAAAGCCTCGGTAGCAGAATCCGGAGGCGGGGAAGACTCGACCAGGTGTCCTTGTTCGTCGATGTGTGCCGTTGACTCGCCAGAATGGATGCTGCGTAGCAGTTCGATCCATTCCCCTGGAGTCCGATGATCGAAATCCAGCCCACTCAAGTTGAATGGACTGGGCCAGCGGAACAGAGTGGCCATAAGGGTCCACTCGTTCAATGTAATTGCCCGACGATTGGGCTCGGCGGCCTTGAGTGCCTCGAGTACGACGATAGGGTCCTCTCCTGCATTCTGCAAGTCCAAAATGGACCGCAAGAAGAGTTCCCGCGTAGTGTCAAAAAGGGACCCAATCTGCTTTAATTGGTCGTTCAGGTCGGTGGCTCGTCGTAATGAGTTTGCTAGATCTAAATAGAATCGAACGAATTAAATTAAATGAATAAAGTCAAATAGAATACAAAAACTTACTATGCGTACTGCTAGTTGAAGCCTTATGGAGCGCATTGAGCGCATCCATGGCTAGCTCCACGTCCAAGGATCCCAGGCACTTCAAACTCCGTGAGGAGCAGGCTTGACACTTATATCCTGGAAGAGGAGCTGAATTGGCTTCCAAGTCCCCTCGAGCAAGCGCCGAAATGCAAGCCTGACTTGGGAGGGAAGGCTACATAAATTGAAACATGTTAGCAATTAAATTAATTAAACCGTCAGATAAAAACTCACGTCGCGAATCACCCGATTAACCCGCATCAAGTCCTGCATCGTAAAACGAGCATTTTGGGTCTCCAGAATGGAGCCCAGTTCGACGAAGTCAGGGTGGATGGCAAGCAAGGGATTTTCTCGATTTAAAGCAGCGCTATTCTATTAAGTTAATAGAGTTAGCATTCCAAATAAATTAAATTGAATGACTACGACTTACCCTGGCATGAGCAAATTTGGGGAAAGGAGTAAAACTCCCAGTTGACTGTTCAGGGAGCCGTAATCGTCCTTGAGAGTCCGCCAGTAGTACTGGTTGAAAGGTGCTATCCGGGGAACGCTCAGGAGCGGACTTTGTGGCAGCCTTGGATACTCGTTTGGGAACAGACACCCGTTTAACTGGACGATGAGGCAATGAAGCTACAATCCAATTAAATTAATAAAATAAACGAAGAAGAATGAAGAATAAAAATTTTACCGGAAATGGAAGATGTCGTCTTTAGGCGTTTTGGAGGAGGCGCAGAGTCCTCCTCCTCATCCTCATCTTCTTGCTCGTCCTCAGACTCTACTTCATTGGAAGCAGAGTCGTCTTCAGAAACAACTACTTGTCGGGATTTGCCTTTTGCGGTAACTGGCGCGATTTTCCTCGAACGAGGAGGAAGTCGAACCCTTTTGTAAACCATGCTAGCGGGAGGGGAATTGGAAGCTTTAGGATCTTCGACTACCTTGATGGTAGTTTTGGATTTAGGCTCTTTCCTACCCATGGGAACCTTGGTAGATGAAGAGGAGGCCCGAGCAGCTGAACCTACAGATGGGAACCCGCTCAAAAGCTCATTATCTGAGTCTTTTGAACGAGTAGAACGAGGCGAAGAAACTGAAAAATAAAGCAAATAAGACAAAAGGAATAAAATCAAATGGTGAAATTAAACGAATACTCACGAAACGCGGAGGCATCAGCCTTGAGACCCTCGACCTCACGATTCCTTCTAAGTGCCCTAGGAGGCACCACTGGTGCTTTAGTGGCCGGAGGAGGAGAGAGAGTTTTAGAAGTAATGGAAGGGGGAACGGTTGATGAATCTCTGACAAGAACGCCTTGGCCGCGTAGTGAGGCAAAGGGATCTAGATCCCTGGAAGGCACTAAACGCATGATTGCGCTTCCCTCGCGAAAACGCAAACAAAATGGAATAGGGATGGTAGGGAATTGTTCAAGATTGAGGACGCCCTGTGAACCCAATTAATAAAATAAGAAGGATAGGGTGACAAGACCGTGCCTACAGGTCAATAGCTATAGAGGTCCTGAGGCCGGATCTGGCCCGGGAATGGCCCAGGATAATTCCGAGGTCCGGAACTGAGTATTGGCCTGTAGTACACACTGGGAGTGGGACGTCGGTGAAGCTATTAGCAACACCCTTCACACACTGTTGTGTCCCCGGGAATATAATGGCAAGGATATAATGTCAAGATGAGCAGCCTAAATGGGGTTCCTGATGATCCGGGAGTCCGGAAGCAAAGGTAAAGGAGATATTAAAGAGTGGGATAAGATGGTACACTTGATTTCAAGCTTGACTACAACGTACAAAGTATTCTAGCTTATATACATCCCAAATACAGTAGTCATAAGACCTCGATGAAAGCTCGGAATAATAAATAAGTCACAAGGTAATTATTCCGAAGTCCGGCCGCTCCGGGCCGGGCCGGGAAGCGTATGGGGTGAATTGCATGCATATGACAGTATCCCCCCGTTAGGCCTGAGCCCACGAAGGCCTCTGTGAATATGTGTGCAGTGAAATAGTAAAGTATAGTAAAGCAAAGGGATTGGATTAGATCCAGTAGTGAAGAATAAATTAAAAGTGGAAGTTTCGGAGAAACTGGAAAGGATCGGCCTGCCGATGTAGCGGGTCAAAGGAACATAATAAAGCAAACAAAAACCAGATTGAAGCAAAGTAAACTCATAACAAAATAATCAACAAAAGAATGGATGACCACGTAACTTCCGAAGTCCGGGCCGGCCGGAAAGTGTTCTGAAGTCTCAAAAGACTAAAACAAGTTCCGAAATTCGGAAAAATCGGGAGTGGCTGGTCCAAAAATTGGAATATAGGACTGGAATACAGTGGTATCCCCCAAGTACGCTTGAGCCCTCGAAAGCGATGAATCAAGAGCCGAAGTTGGAGTCAATGGTGATGTAGGAGGATAGGGTAATGGAGTAGGGAAAATTTCGAAATAAAATCCGAGCCGAGGGGCGGGATTGGGCCGGAAAAATCATCGGAAACTGCGGAAAAGTCCGGCATACCAATCAACACAAAGTGCTGCCAGAGATGATAACCTAAGCTGATATCCACACAAGAGCGATGCCTTAAAAAGGCCGAAATTGACACAAAGTGTCCAGAATGATGGTAGAACCATCCCGAGACCGGAAGTTCCAAGGGAAGCAAAGCCGGAAAGCGCTATAAGGATAATCATAAAAAATGAGTTGGAAAAGAGTGTTTCGGTCTACCCGGCAGATCAACGGATCTAAGTGGGAGTAGAAACTGTATCCTAACAAATAATCAATGAAATCCTACTAAAAAAAGGAGCAGCTTGTGGGTGAAGCAAAGGAATCAACATAAATAGAAATGATAACAGGTAAGTGAGTGGAAGTGCTAATGAGCAAGCTTGAGATAATGCCAATAAAATGACGGAAAAATCGGAGCAAGGTCAGAAACATGGAATGGAATAATTAGTAATCAATAATAAGCAAAAAGATCGGCATAATCGGACCGGAATGAAGCAATAATAGTCATTACAATGAAACATTACCTGAATATTCAAAAACTCGAAACAGAAGTGGAATGGATGGAAAAAATGCGGTCCGAAGCTTGGAAGTGAAGTGAATCATAGTGTCAACAAAAATTGATTATGTAAAGATATAAAATCGGGCCGACATTTGGAAAAAGCGGAAATGAGCCCCAGACATTGAGAATAATAACAAGGGAGCCAAAACTTGGGCCGAAACTCGGAAATGAAGTATATATCATGTCAAACAATGAATCGTCATAAAAAGGCCTAAAAATCGGGCCGAAGTTCGGAAGGAATGGGAATTTGCAAGGTCAACAAGTGAAATCATGAAAGAAAAGGAAACATTGGTTCAAACCTTGGAAAAATCGCAAAAATGCGGGCCGAAGCTCGGAAATAATATCAATGATAATGTCAAATACTGAATAATCATTGAAGGGCATAAAAACGGGCCGAAATTCGGAAAGAAAGGAATTCGTAAGGTCAAATAAGTGAGAATCATGAAAGAAAAGGAAAACTCGGTCTAAGACTTGGGAATAGTTGGAAAATTCAGAATTAAAATGTAGAAAAATTAGGAATTACTCGGAACCATCATCGGAGCCCGGAACATCTGATTCAGAGTTATCTGCATCATAGTGCTGTCCTGTACGGGCCTGCAGTTTGAGACAATCTACCTTCATATGTTCTCCTCCACAATAAAAGCACAACCCGAGCACCCTGCGCCTTTCCCTCTCAGAGTCCACAAGCCTGCCATCGGGTCCGAGGTGAGGATGACCAGATCTGTCATCACCGGGCCGGAGTTCCGGCGCTTCGGAGTTATCAGAGGCAAATGAGTGGGACGACTCCACTGAGTCTGAGGCTGAGGATGAAGGATAGGAATGTAGATAACGGAGATCGTAAGGGCCGGGGTGATCCGAGTCGAAGTCAGAGGATTCATGAAGATAATCATAATCAAATGGGCCAGGAAATTCCGAGTCATAACTTGACTGGTCAGGATCGGAATTAGTACCGGACTGAACTGATTCTTGTTCAGAATTGTGGTCAGATGGGCTAGATTGGTCCGACGGATCCGAAGTTTCCGGGTCCGGGCCAACCGGATCAGGTAACGATAAGGCATACTCGAGGAAGGATCCTGAATCAGAGCCAAAGGACATAATGGAGGGGTATTTCGGTGAAGGAACAGTGTAATGAAGTGTAAGCTTGAAATACTGACAAGACCGTGCCTACAGGTCAATAGCTATAGAGGTCCTGAGGCCGGATCTGGCCCGGGAATGGCCCAGGATAATTCCGAGGTCCGGAACTGAGTATTGGCCTGTAGTACACACTGGGAGTGGGACGTCGGTGAAGCTATTAGCAACACCCTTCACACACTGTTGTGTCCCCGGGAATATAATGGCAAGGATATAATGTCAAGATGAGCAGCCTAAATGGGGTTCCTGATGATCCGGGAGTCCGGAAGCAAAGGTAAAGGAGATATTAAAGAGTGGGATAAGATGGTACACTTGATTTCAAGCTTGACTACAACGTACAAAGTATTCTAGCTTATATACATCCCAAATACAGTAGTCATAAGACCTCGATGAAAGCTCGGAATAATAAATAAGTCACAAGGTAATTATTCCGAAGTCCGGCCGCTCCGGGCCGGGCCGGGAAGCGTATGGGGTGAATTGCATGCATATGACATAGGGAAAGAAATGTGCTTACCGAACCAGGTGAACGATGTTCAGGGGGAATTCCCCATTGCTGCTCCAAATCATCCCTCAAGAAGGCAGGGAGATTGTGAGACAAGTACTCAGCAGTGAGAATGACATGTTCCACAAACAAGGGACAATTCGCTCGACCCGTCCAAAAGTCGCGAAGATAAAGCTAAAAAAGGAGGAGGATTTAAATGGGATACAGAAACAAAAGAGGAAGTAAAAAACGCACCAAGAAAGGTGCCGCCTCCTCAAAGACGTTATATATTCCTTCGGATTCTGTTGGAGCCATATCTTCGAATAAAATTTGTAAGGTACGAACGGCCATTTGGGCCGAACAGAACAAGTCCAGGCCAGAGGCCACGGACAAGGGACGTGAAGTCTCGATAGGAAAGCAGAAAGGGACCAATGCGCGAGGATAAGAGAATGCTGGAAAAGTGCTGGACCCATCGTAATCCGGAGTATGTTGAGGGCTCAGAAGTGGAGGAATATAATCGCCTGCTTGAAGACGCTGAAAGACTGGGCTATCGAAAAATAATGGCAGCGTAGACTTGATTTGAGTGCTCGCTAAAAGAGGTTGGTAAACGCGTGGTGGAAACTGCAGTGCGAGTTTGACTCGAAGTAGCAGCCATTTTTATGAATGAGATGGAGGAAAGAAATAAAGGGCAAAAACGGACTTCAACGAAAAATTTTATCGAACCCCGTGCCCCGAACCAAATAAACGTACACACTGAATCAGTGCGTACGTCAGAGCAGTTCTCCGTGAAATGGAAGCTCGTTCTGTGAATAGATGATGAAAAGATTGTGAATTAAATTTTCGAAATGTGATACGAATACCGAAAATGTATTCAATTAAAATTGAGCGCTAAACTGTTACGATTCGTAGCAGGCGTGTGAATAAATTGATAAGATGAGCGCTAGAAACCCATTTGAGGGCATCCAAATTGATTGGAGAACACGGAGAAGTAGAGATCCAAACCCAGTGAATTACATTAATAGGAGATATAGTCTTGTCGAATCAATCTAATAACAGATTGGGTTTCCTTTCCCGATACAAAACTATGAATGACCGAGGACGGTCAAATTCTTTAGTTTGGGGGGGATGACACGCCTAAATTTTGGCTAGACGTCTATGCTGTGAATTGTGACATTTTCACGTATAGATTTGTATCAAGAGGACTGTAATTGAGACCCAGATTGACAGTCAAAGTCGATACTGAATCAGTCTAATAAGTTGAAGGGACCATATACCCATACTACCACAAGTTGGTTAGTTTACCCATCCCCGATACTACCTACGGATAGCAGTCTACCTGTTTGTCAAGCAGGATTATACCAGACTCGGACTACATCCGAAGGATGACCATTCACGTATGACATACCAAGGGTATTCTTATTGGACCTTACACTGGCAGGAGTTTGGAAGAACTTACTCAAGTGACCATGAACCGAGGATTGACTCGAAATGACTTTCTAGAACTCAGGAATTATCAAATACTCCTTCTAGAACAAGATCATGCATTAATCTAAAGGACTGCGATTTAGTCTAATAGACCAATCAAGTTGCATGGTTGAGGAAAATGACTAGAAGAACGATCGAAGTACTGCGAGGCTCCGAAGACATATCAAATGAATGTCAAAGAGTCCTGACGTAGAAAATATTGAAGAATGCAATTAAATGAATACTATGTGTAACTCCCTTGATTGAGTATAGGCACAATGGGTGTCTATTGAAAGAGAGAAGCAATTAGTTTAATCCAGATGAATCAGATTGATAGGATTAGAATCAAGGAGAGCTGATTTGCCTCCGGACGAGGTGACAAACGATCGAAGTAAGTGTTGAACAGCAATGACAGTTGAACACCATTCGAGTCATCCTCCAAAAACAATTAAATTAAATGAATATCGAAGTACCTACCTATGTTTGGAGGTATACTAGAATCTTGGAACCAATACGGGCCAAATAAGGACATGAAGATTCAAATTAAATGGTATCTGACCGAGTGTAGAAGTTTCCTGGCGGTTCCGAACGTTTATTGTATTAAATTAATTGTACTGTGCGACTCTATATCCTGTATGTATAAATAGCGATCCGATGTATCTGGAATACAAGTGATTTTGGGACGACGTTGCAGTGCTAATCCGTAAAAAGGAAAGACACACTCCCGCCAGACTGAAACCTCTTCGCTAGCAGCCATTCGGGCCCGGCACTTGTGAGTATAGGAACGTCGTGTTCTGCTCCTTGTGACTGCGAGAAGTCTATCCAGTTGTTGGGTATTCTTCGAACTTAGGATCAATCGTTGGTCTTAAGGGCAAATCACGCTGTGTGGTTGTGCCAGCACATAGTTCTAGCCCTCCGTAGGGGTCTGTGTGTTTCGGTTTTAATTTACTTTGATTCAAACCCCCAATTCTTGATATACCCAAATCAATACAAACCAAAGTACAAATCGTGCTGAATCTACCTTGATCAAAGGAATATATCAAATCCTTAGAACGATTCAAATTGATTGATCAAAGCTTCGTACTTAGCTCTCAAAGCTTTGCGGAACCTTTGCCAACGCTACCCCTTGCTATTAAATAAATTTGATAGCAGTGAACTCGCATATTGTGTATTAGATTGGTTGGTTGGAGTGCCCATTAGATTCCTTCCTTTCTCTTTCACACAAAAACGAGGCAAGCTCGTTACCGGTTTATATTGAATTTTGGAACTAGAACTGGCAGCATTCTTTGCGGGCCAGGACAATGTGCATGTGTCCCTAAATGGGGCAATTCACTTCAATCCAATGTGGGCAACTGCAGGTTGGTTTTTTCCCCTTACTCTTGTCATAACATAATGACCATTTATGTAGAAAATGCAAGCAATGATGAAGTTATGGCCGACACCCTCCAAGACAACAATGACAATGGGACTGGAGGTGGGCACATCATTTTGTAAATTACCATAGCTTACATTTTCATGGCTAGATACCACTCTTGTTGAGACTTCCCCTCTGGACTTGGGCGGTGAGTTGTTTGCTGCAATTACTAATAGTACTAATGCCACTACTCTCAGACGATGCAATTATTGACCTGACTGTAGCTGAAGGGCCATTTTACTCTAAAGGTAATGCCATTTATACACTCTGAGGCGTCTGCTAATACAAGTGTTGATAGTTCAGCATATGTATGTTGATCTTACTACGGAGGACTTCCCTCGCCAGGAAAAGCGCAAGCATAAGTGTTTTAACTCCTCCTAGAATGCCTTAAACTAAGCTAAGTAATTAGTTGTGAGTCTGCCCCAACACCATGAGATGTTCGTGGATTTGACTCAACCGACTTGTCCTACCCTCGACGGTACGTTGTTTGTAGTCAGTACTGGTCCCATTGATCTCCGGATTGGATTGAACAGTAATCAAATGAAGGCTTTGTATATGGAGAAGCTCGCAGGCATATCCATGCTGCACCTCATCCATGGGCCACCAGCATACTCTACATAGCTGTCGCGTATATTCCTTCTGGTCATCGTAGTGCTTTTGTTGCACAAGCAAGAGATCTTGCCCCCGGAACTAGCGTGGAATCTAGATGTTAGCCAAGTGTGGTACTGTCTTTGGGCATTCTGGCGATGGAATATTGTCATGAAGTCTCATGATGCGCCCTTTGATGCACCATCAGCGCGGTGTGTTCCCATCAATCTGTTTTCACATGTTTATTGTACTTCATCACACGATCATCCCATTAGTTCCATTTGTTTCTGTACGCTTCCATACAACTCATCCTTATTCATCGATTAGTTCATCCTTATTCATCGATTAGTTCATTATGGTTCATTATCGACTCATTATTACTCGTATATATTGATTCCTCACTCTTGTTCTATATCGCATCGTTATTTACAATCGCTTACTCAGTAGACAAGAGTAGTATATAAAGGACAGTAGACAGGCCCTAGTTCCCCATCTCGACCTCTTGGTCATTGGGCAACTAGGCAAGTACTTGTATCCTTTTAGATACTACCTATCTAACTTGGTCATTGGGCAACTAGATTCCCTTTTGATTGCTGGTGTGATTGGCCTTTGACGCTATCCCACTGTTGTTTGAGATCATTATTTCTCTCATCTGTGCTTTGTGCTTGTTTCTGTGCCTCTTCGCTCTGCCACTATCGCTCCTAGGCATATCTGGACCTCCCGCCTCCTGCCTCCTGCCTCGTCGCGACATTAGGTCGAGATCTTCTACTTGTACCATCAGCTTGGTGAGCTGATCCTACAAGGCACCCACCACGTCTACCTTCGGAGTCAACGTTGATTGCTCCAACCACTTTCACGCGCTTGATACTGTAACTAACACCACTTGCTACTGGGACGCTGAAGAAGAAGAGTGGGAACCCTGCTCCAGACAACCGTGCCCTAATCGATACGAGAACACATTTGACGCAAGTCCGACCGACCGTTACCAACCCATCCACAGACCAGCACCACCTGCCA